ATTATAACATTTTATTGTGTTATATATTATCCTGTACGAGCGTGTAATGCGTGTATAGCATTTATAGACCTATACTGTATAAATACTAGACGTTGAATTTTAATCGTTTTTATTTATTTTTCTCCGACTTACGGTAAACGCCGCGATTTTGTCCATTCATTTTTCTCATGTCTCAACTCCGAAAAACCTCGCCGATCTCTGTCGTTTTAAGACGAGGATATAATATTGTGCTCGTATTATATTATTTTCAGTATTTATATACATACCTACGTATCCGCCTGCAGAATAGCAACCGTACAATGCGCATAAACATAATATATGCCGAGTAAACAAAATGCGACAACGCCGTCGTCGTCATCTTGGCATTGATTTATCGTAATAAAACGTTTATTACGTATATATGTAGCCCGTACGTCTTATAGACTTTCACATTATTATGACAGGAGAAGAGAACACACTCGCGTATTCCTATATATAATACGCGTCGTGTCTCGTCTGCGCCGTATATGTGTGACGACTGTACGACGAATTTATAATATATTATTGTTATTATCATAAACTGTTGAGGGATTGGTGATGGGAGGGGTGTTGATAGGCTAATGTGGGGTGGGGGTAGAGAGAATAAGAAATTTCGCTTGACTATAATATAGGTAGGTTTTTTTTTGCATTTCGAGCCGCCTTCCTGTGAGTTTTACAGCGGCGTTGTCTGGCTTGGGATTGGAACGTTTCGTGTTTGTTTTGGAGATTATATTTTACATTACAATCATACCGAATCATTATAGTAATAATAATTAATATTGTACTCGCGTCCGATTATGTTCGTGTGGACGGCGTTACACCGCACGGTTGCGACGGTGAGACGCCGAAATAAAAACTAATCTGTGTTACCGTTGGCACGAGACGTCTGTTTTCGTTTTTTATCTTTTATTTTTTACTCTAGGCTACATTTAATATTTAATTAATTTGTTTGCTCGAAGGATGAAAACAATTTCATTAGGGAGCTCTATAATCTTTATTCCGCTTACTCATATGTTTTTCGAATGAGCGCGATGTTATATACGTAAAAGATTATGGATGTAAGCTAGTCGCGATCGGGACAGTTTTGTTCTTAGTTCAGTCATCGTAGCAGTATAATAATATTTTTTCTAATTACTATTTACTAACGATGCGGGCTTTTAGAAATAAAATAAAACGAGCAAAACGTACATAAATTGTTCAACACCATATATACCTACAATTAATAGTCGGGTAGTTAAAATAAAATTAAAGGGGTGTTATATTTTCTTATTAACCACTTTCCTCACTCTCCTGAAACATTGTCACTTTATTGTTATAAGGTCATCCTTGTCACAATCTAGTAAAATAGATAAATATTTTCATTTTTTCTCCTAAACAGTATATACACTATGATACGTATACGTGATATATTTCAACACCACCCGTTGCATCAATATTAGTGTTCTTGTGTACTTATGATATTTTAAATGTTGTTATTAAATATAACGCCAGATATAGGAGCCTCCATTGACCTAGTAATAATAATGATATTAAAAGTAATGTGAGATTGTGGTTTTTTTTTCATCTAAAAACGTTAACGGTGAAAGTCAACTATTGTTGTCGTGGCTATACGTTTTTTTTTCTCATGACTACAAAACGAATTCGCCATCGGTTTCCATAAATATGTATATAATATGAATGGGCCAATTGGTTTTCATAATAATGCTATTATAGCTACGTGTATCGTATACTAATCAGCTGCTGTCAGTTTTTATGTGATGTAAAATTTGTACTCGGTAGACATACCTACTTATATATAATTATATTATACTGTCGGGGACTTGAATAATTACAATTACCCATATACTTAGGATAATAGTATTGGAAAAAATAATCGATTTAGTTTATTAATTTTACGTAATAACATCACATTGCAGTATACTAGAATATAATTTCACGTTGGACTTGGAAAATGGAAGCGATTTCTTATGCTCTCATAAATCATAATGATATACTAGAATATGTAACTTTGCTATATGCTATAATTAATATGAATATTCTTTTAAAAATTAAATAAGTATACTTAGAACTTGAGTATATAGCCTGTAGTTAAATTCATCATTCTATATATTCTTATGCATATGATCGTATATAATATAATTATAGATATCCGTACCTAAAATGTGATGTTAATTGTATAATTATATTCCTAATAATAAATGTATAATTTTCTAATAGACGAATATTACTATACGATACCTATATATTATACTATATCAAACGATTTACGGAATGGTATTGATGCAATTGGTTTATGCTCGATTTTCGACAAAACAATGAAGTAAACAGCGGTCGATGATAAAAAAAAAAAATTTAAATTTGTCTTGATTAGGGTCGATCTGGGAAAAACGGAAATCATTTTCGGCGAATCTCATAGGTTAGTATTTCTTCTGATCTACTCCAATATTATTTGTCTATACATTGCAGTATTGCGTAACACGTTCCCTTGACACGCCGTTAATAAATTGCGAGCTTTCGAAAATGTGTGTTATTCCTAAGAATATTATTTATTTTCCGCGAGTGACAATAATTTGCATAAAATATATTAAGTGAGCGCAGAGGAAGTCTCCCCCCGTACTTGAGTAATTTAGGGGCGACGAGCGTATTTTGGTAATCATTGCGATCTTATTCTTGTTATTGTATTATGCGAAACTCAAAACCGCTCGTTAGCAGTTAGTACGGCAGCGCGTATGTACATTCTACGCACGCGGCCCGTCCTCGTAATAGTTATGACGTCATCCGGCCGGGTGGCCGGACCATATGGCGCTGTTCCGGCCGGTCTTCCGTCCACCAGGTCGGCCACACCCATGGTCCGTGGCCGACGCGCACGTACGCCTGTGACGGCCGTCGTCCCGGCCGGGACCTGGGACGGACCGGCCGTCCCTTCGTCGGGACCATGTGCGTTCGGTTACCACACACGCGCCGCCGTCCACCGATAAATACATATATTATTTTATACCTAATAGTAATAATAATATAATATAACAACTGCGGCGGTGGCGGCGGCGGCGGCGTCGACAACAACAAAATTATTATTATTATTACGTGCCGTACTCAACGCCCTTGTGGCCGAAAAAAAGTCACGTTTGGCCTTTACCCGCGGTCGTTTTGCGAAAATAATATTTTATTATATTATTGGCTCGGACGGGCGTCCCCCCCAACGTATATTTTCTTCGGTCTAGCAGCTTTCAGTATACGTTTTATTACATTAATCTTTTGAAGTGTACGGAGACCGTTCTCGTTTATTATTATTATTATTATTATTTTTTTTGATATTATAAGACGCACACGGACACCGACTGCGCGCGAAATTCATTACCGATGACCGTGAAACTCGCGGCAGCGTACCCAAAACCGCGTACATACGTGTCGCGACGCTTCGGACGGGCGGCTGGCCATCGCGAAAAATATGCTCAAAGGTGATAATACGCCCACACACACTCGACCGCTCACCCAAGTTCTTTTTGACCGTTTAAATTTTATTTTATCATTACGTGCGGTGGCAACCGTGCCGTGATGTGTAAACTGGGTTAACGCAATTAAACGCTCAAAGGCGCGCGTGTGTGAGGTCGCCAAAAAACAATGTCCTTAAGCGCGATTATAATGTCCACAAGCGATTTTCGTGCACTCTGCGACTCATTAATATAAAGCGCAGCCTTTTCACGTGCCTCTCGTAGTTATACTTACGTCGATTGGCGCACGACGGGTGGAGCACCGCTTCCATCACAGGTAGGTCGGACTAATGATATCACGAACACAGATTTCTATTTAATAGCATATGGAATCTTTATATATTAATTTATGTAGGTACCTATATACCTAGTTAGAGTTTCACATATATATATATATCCGAAAAAACGAATACAAAATAATTTAGCTCGTCCGCCACGCGTTTTGTGTTGGAAAAATGTCAATGGATATACAATTTTCATACTACATATAATACCGAAATACACAAAATCACACACACACATACGGTGTATACAATTTGTATTGACGTTGATGTTCGACCTTTATGTCTGTAGTACCTATCAACATATAGACGACACGTGCAAACATTTTATGCATATAAGCAGAGAATAACTTCCATTTAACTAAATAATTTTCTGTTTAGCGAAATGTTTTTGAGAACCAAACCAAATTAGATTTAAATTGATATAATTAAATTTGAGAGGACCGAGGACGCCACACGTGCCCACATGTGTTTCTCCGTCTTCAACGTACAACATAGTAGCTATATATGCATTTAGGAGAGCCAATTAATTTGTGTTGTTAACTTTAATATTAAAGTTAATTGACCTATAATTAAACTTAAAAATAAGAACACTATCTATGTTCTCTCGTTGTTCTTTTATGATATTTTAATTTTTAAGCGAGTTAAGAGTATGTGAAATTTATAAATATAAAAATGCTCATAACTCGCTTTAATATAAAAATGATGTCGTAATAAACCATCTTGAGATCACACACAATTGCATCATTACTATTATATTTGAGTTTGATCATAGGTCTTCGCTCTAATATTTAAGCTATAACAACACGAAATTGGTTCTGCTCCACTGACATTTTGATGTGCTGTACGTTTGTAAGATTGGCGACAACACTTACGCAGGTATGACGATGGTGTCCTTTTATACGAAATACTCTGCAATACGATTTTTTTTTTTGACATGTGATTTCGAAATATGAAATGTCCATTGTTTTATACTCGTATGATATCAAGCGAGGGTCGCACGTCCTAACGTTCCAAGCGTCCTTTCCGCTGCAGTCGTCGCCCATCGGCACTGTGGTACCCACCCTGCCGACACGCGCGGAGAACCGGTGCCCGCGTCACCGCTGCGGTGTTTCTCGCTCTCACGCACGCCACCATCGCGCGGCTGGAGTGGTGGGATTCGCCCACAGTTTTGCACGCACCGTTCTCGCCGAACTTGCACGCATCACGAACCGAAACGTCGTTCGAACCGGTCGTAGTGTGCGCGCAGTTCTCCCCGGTCGTCTCCGTGCTGTGTGTGTCGCGCGTCCCCGCCGAAGTGTCCGGTCCGCGCGTGTTGTTCCTTCGTCGTCGGCGGCGGTGCGTCAAGCCGTATAGTGTTCATCCCGTTCGGGTTTTTCGTCGCGTGCGCGTGTAATCGCCAAGCTGACCGGCAAACGCCGCCGCCTCCACCGCCGCCGCACCGGTTACCGTTCGCCGATACGTATTCCCGGTCACCGCCGCCGCCATGTACGCTTCGGGCAACAGTCAAAAAGTAAAATAGCACGTTGACGTTATAATATATATGTAATCTTATAATAATAACCATATAATCCTATTTTTTTTTTTTGTTCGACTACGGTTCCCCCCGCATAATATTTTCTATATATTTTATACGCTTATACCACTACGTACTTACTGACTTTTAAATTAGGAGGACGTGACAAAAATTTGGGATGGATAAATCCCCCCTTTTTGAGCCAATGATATTATCTAAACCATACACAAACATTATATATTATAATTTATCGATGGGTACTTATATATACACACAGAACTGTGGTAGGACTGCACTAGCTCTCCCCATCACGTGGGCCCCAAAATTCGCTGACTTTACCTATTTACCATCACGCTACTTGTAGCTATTATATAATTATTTGGTATCAATATAAAAGTCACGTAGTTTTACTATACACAGTACACACTATATATTTTTACACGTGTAATAATGTAATAATGTTTAAAATACTAAATTACATTTTTACGCGTTTGCAACTTATAAGTACATCATATTATTATTATTATTATAATACATTGCTTGCATAAATCATGATGCTGTTTTAAAGATGACGTTATTGACGATGTTTTTATAGTGGGGTAATACAAATAATATGGTAACCGTCACTATCGGTGCCTTTTAATAGAACCATTACGTGGACCTGTGCACTCCGCACAACATGTGTCGTCGTATTTGTTTAGGGTAACTACATATGTAGTTAATAACTGACTAAAATTTTAGATTTGGTTCAAGTTGCGTGATATTTCTTTCAGTTGCCTCGACATTTAGACGTTGAGTGTGAATCTTGATCCGAAATACTTTACCTGCGTATTAAGAATATCTATATTTGCCTGCCTCTCGTCCACCCATTGTAGTATATGTAGTATGTACCGCACATATATGTTACTCCAGGTCAGTAGTCAGATCGAATCTTCAGTTGGAGTAAATTGAGTTTTGCTATAGGGCACTGCCGAGTGTAAAAAATACAGCGACATGACTATTTTTAACCAACTGTTACAGGCAGTAACGGTTAGGTCTAGTGGATCACTGGACCTATTTTCTCTCCTCATCCATGTATTTCAATAAAATAAAAACAATAAGGGTGATCACCCACGTAACAGATGGTCTTCTCACCTATATCTACGTGTACGCTTCTACAATTAATGCTGGTTAGAAAGAATTGAGTTTTTATTGAACTTTTTTAGCGTTTCCGACAGCTCCACTCGACCCCAGTGAACACCGGTTCACGAGCACTCTCTTAACCCTTACCGACTGCCCGTTTTCTAGGATTTCGCCGAACAGGTGTCCGCGTTATAATATTACATATTATGTTTATGTTATTTGTCGTGTGCGTATACCTGTCGTATAACACACATATGTTCGTGTATATAATATATATGTATATCGATCGTATATTATGCGTGTTGGTTTTTTTTCGCGTACGGAGAAGCTGCTTTCACCGTCGTCTCGTCCAAGGCTGCGTCTGGTTGTCTGTCATCCGGACAAGGCTGTGCATTTATCTCGCGTTAGCATACACGTATATTATGTTATGATGTGTGTACAGTTGTGGGAGGCGTTTGGCCGCGTATTATATGTTGTGTTCTAAATTTACGGAGCATACGTGTATAGATATATATATATATATACCTAGACGCGTTTATATATAATATCGGGCAGAGCTTTCGTTTGTATTTTATTTTAATTCTTATAATATATGCTGGATACGTGCTACGAGTATCGCCATTTTACATCATTTTGATTTCCGTTTGCATCCGAGTGTAGTGCATTCTTTAAATTAAAGGCCTTAATATACAGTTTTCCCATGGCGCCAGCATGCGCTTGTAATACGCGTTGTCTTTGTATGTACCGGTCCCCGAGTTTCCCGATCAGCTTCTGCTGTGAAACCACTGCGGCACGGGCTTAAGCGCGTGGGACGGACCGGCCGCCGACACCTGTTGGTCCAGCCGGACCGCCAACGCGAAACTACGGTCAGCACTCTTCGAGGGGCAGCCGGATAGCGTTGGGTGACATTTGTTTTCGTATATAATATGATATAAATAACGATGGAATATTATTATTATATTATTGCTCATCGACCCAAAAGAAGATTCTCCACGTAATCGCGTGTTTCTCTCTTTTTTTCTACGCGATTATTATTGTTGTGTTCGTTTTCTCGTAACAAGCAGACGACATTATAATGTTATTACGAATTGTTGTTCTGTGCACACTGTCCTGATGTATATTAAATAGGTGTATAGCCGTATAGGTGACTGATGCGTTTTTTCCTTCTACCAGTCCAGTGTGTATGTTCATCCAGCTTTGGGAATTTACTGCAGCCTGATTGGAAAATCCAATCCGACTATTCTGTCCGTGCAGTGATTAGTCATTACTCATTAGTGTAACGTTTTTTTTTTTACTTATTTGTCCACTATTAAATTGGTACGACGTGTGTATATTTTCACGCTTTAAAGACATCGCGTACTAATAGTTTTAAGATTAACTATACCAGTATGTTGACTTACAAACATATAACATGGCACATTTTTGTTCAGTAGTTCTAATGTTTTGATATTAGTTTTAATGTCATTTGAGTGAATTGACGTATCATCAAACTTAAATCTTAATGGTAAGAACATTAACCATTGTATTAAGTCGATACTTTAGATTTTATAATCTATAATTTAATGTATGAGTACCTGTATGATACATAATAATTACAACATTCAATTGTGTCAATTAAAATGTCTCGCTTTGAAATTAAATTATTGACAAAACTAATACGATAAACAGATGATGTTCTGACCTTTAAAAAACACATCAACCGTTGTTAAGCTTAATACATAATATATAGGATCGTGCACAGCCGAACAGGTCACAAAACAACAATAAATAAAATATATAATATGATGACATCTTCTCGCGGTTCGTACCACGACAAAACGATGACAACAATAATCGTGTTAAAAAGAGTGAAACACGTTCGAGAATCCACTTTTGGGTCAACTCGCATAGCATAAAAATATCATCGTCACTCGTCGGTTAGGTATCTTAGAGGACGCCATATACCCAATTGACAAGCCGAATGGTAAACTCCTACAAATGTAGTGTTATCTCCTACAAAAGATAGTGTTAACTCCTACAAAAGATAGTGTTAACTCCTATAAAAGATAGTGTTAACTCTTACAAAAAATTAATATCGTAGGTATTGCTGTAAAAAATATCAGTCTTGCAATATATTAACACATAAAATAAAAATGGTTTGAAAAATATAATAAAAATGTTAAAAAACAATAATCATTATCATAATACCAAATATCGCTGATCTATTTAAAATATTTTGTACTGCAAGTGCCGATATGAACGTATAGTATATAGTATATAATATGGATATAATCTAACCTTCGAGAATCATCATACAGCGTATAAACAAGCTCTATTCAAGCGTTTGTTTATTAAATAATATATATTTATTATTTTCAAGTTATGATAATTTTGAGCTTTTTGAGCTTTTTAACTTCAAAATTGTGAATTTAAGTAATATTACCCTATAATTTAAAGGAAAAAATTTCTATGTGGGAGATTACAATATCTTTGATTTTCAGGTAAAAATTTTAAAAGGTTATTAGTGTAGGAGTTTACATTTAATGATGATTTAGGTATAGGAGTTTACATTTGGCCATTGACAAGTCGATATTTCGGTTATACTGTAACGTCAATAACGTGCAATAAGTTGCAATTTATCGTTAACTATATTATTATTATGCATAATATGTGTATATCATAATTATTGAATTCTGGCATATGATTTATACTGCAATATATATTGTGAATACTCTGCATCTTGCAATGATTAATTATTAAAGAATTTCACAATATGATTTTTGTGGTTTTTTTTTGTTTTGTTTGAATTCTTATACATTTCAGAGAAAATAACACGTGTGCGATAAGACATCCTATTGTATAAACGCGTATATTATAAATACAAAGTATATATATATATCGGCGATACATATAATATAATATTTTATTATCGTATCGATCGCGAAAACAATAAACGGTTATTGTTTATTTTTTCGTTCTTGTGCGTACACGTACGCTGGTGTGCACAAGCGATCTGACGTTAATTTATTGCCCGGCCTACCTCGCGTAAAAAAATAAATAAAAAACATGACGCGCTTTTTACCGGACGACGATGACGACTGACGAGCCTGCAGAAACGGCCCATACGTTCGATGCATAAAACATTAGGTATTTTGTATTTTACTGTTCCAGCGTCCTTGTTTCACCGTCGTTTACATTGCGACTATACCTATATGTATATACCATCATCATTCATACAGTATACGATATCATATCATACACGTATTACCTATATATGTGTAGGTACTTATGATATATTTAATTGTACATTCCGTTATACATTATAATTTTTTCTGTCAATCATTGTGATTTCGAAAAAAAAATGTTCTTGGACATTATGAAAAAACAAAATATGAACATTTTTATTATTTGCAGAGTACCTGCAATACCGATATATTTTACTGTCGTATTCGCCAACAGTGGTTGAACATTTTAAAATTCTATAAATACGAGGTTTCCATCATGTGTACGAGAAAACGATTTTCGGTTCTTTTCGTTCAGTCGTTTTTTTTTTGTGTTTGATCACACGCGGTACCTATACATAATATTTCCATTTTGCCATGTATGATACTGTCATCGTATCGATATAAAATAATATTGTTTATACAGCATATGTATAGATACCTCCTCCATACATTATGCATGTTGTATCGTATCGTAACTTACTTGTTTATTTCGCACATCGCAGCATATGCATATTTACGAGAGTACGATTCACCGAAATGGTTTACACTATACCACAGCATAATATACAGCGTGTAATACTCACGTATATAGCCGCGTTAGACGAACAAAATATAATCGCGGGTAAACAAACAAACCGAGATTTGTTTAAAATTTAAACCCAATCGACGGACGATGCGCGTATAATAAAGTCGGTTAAAAATAATAATAATAATAATAATATTCGTTTTATCGAAAACGATGTCTGAACGATTAATTTACGACGAACAGTTGGTGCGAATATATATATTGATGATATTAACGATTATATTGAAATATGTGTGTATGTTAAAGTCATCGTCGGAAAGTAGGTATATAATCCATCATTTACAATGCAATATATAGATAAGTTTGGACTATAATTTTTTTTTCTTTTTGTTCACGCAAAAGGCGTTATTTTTATATAATACACCGGACCGAGTATCGCATAAATATTGTGTTATGTGTTATATTTGTTGTCCAGGTGGTTGTTTGTTTTAAGACGCTATATTTTTTTTTTCCATTCGCTCGTAATCAGTACCTATATGTACTGTCGTCGATTACGACGAGTATATTATATTACATCGCGTATGGTGTGTTTAGTGACCGTTATTTTATACACATGTAGTATGCAGTTCATATATATGGTGTTACGCAATGTGTAATAATATAAGGGGGCCTTTCTCGGATAGTATATTAATTTGATCTAATATAAAATGCACATTAAATACATTATTGTACAATAAACTATACAGTTACTAATAGAAAATATAGTAAAATACGATTTCGTCATGACTCATAAAATTATATTATAATGATAGCGTAAAGAAAATAAACTACGTTTAAAACAAAATGTAAACCTTTTCTCATTCTCGTCATTGGCAGGGAAGTGCTCACAGGGTCGGGGGAGGGTGTCATATCCCTTGGCTTCTTTTCGGTCGTAGTATATATTCTATTCTATAAATGTATATATTATATTATTATATTATCTGTCTAGCTGTGATATAGTGCATAGTATAATCCGCCTATCGGAGACTATACAATGTGAATGACGAACTGTTTTCTGCACTGTATTGTATTATAATATTATAATGAGATTACACGAACGAGTATATTATTAATAATATTATTATACTACCATGTCGTGTCATCGCTCCTATACTATTGCCCATTCAGTGTATGCAATAAACGGTTCGTCCGCGACCTTTCGCCGACATACTACAGTAGTCGAAATACAATATATACTATATTATGTAGATATTTGATCGTATAATATATAATATTATATGTAGGCAACTACTTAGTGTATTATCGGTTGTATAGGTTATATTGAGGGTGGGTAGGCTTTCGGAACGTGTTTGGCACCGGAAATTCGCTCGAGTCGACCGTCTTCAATCATCGGACGTCTGAATTTCAGTGCAACGGCAAATGGCTATATAATAGGACGAGTAGGCGACTGAGACACGACGTGGAGATGCACGTGGGCGGCACAGGCGGCGGCAGGTCGCCCACCAGCGCCAGCCTTATACCTGTAAGCTCGCGGTGCTCGCGCGACAATGGAACGCGTTATTATAATATTTATATACATTATACATATTATTATTATTACTATTATAACTTAATTACCATAATTTTCATTATAATTATAATATTAAATATACGTTACGTGTATTTATGCTGTGGTTTGCTCTCGTTCATCGTCGTCGTCGTTGTTGTTGTTATTTGTGCACGTCACGGCGACGACCTTCATCCTGCGAATTGCGAAACTTAAAAAACAGCCCATACTACAGGATGTGATATCATATGAGAAATAAAACAGTACGCGCCTACTGTGTGTGTCTTATATTGTGCATAATATAATCGTATTATGTTATAATTTGTTACGACTCTTAATTGATTTCTTTCGTTTTTCTTTCTGTTCTTATCGTAGATCGCGGCCGCGGTGAGCTGTTTTGGAAAATTCAGCTTGACCAAGACCTGGTGGACACCATTTCGTCAATTTACCCCGAGTGGTTCCGCCAACAACAGCAACAGCAGCAGCAGCAGCAACAGCAGCTGCAGCAACAGCAACAGCAGCAGCAACAGCAGCTGCAGCAACAGCAGCACACCAACCCATTGACCATGCAGAACAATATTTCGCAATCGTCTCCGCCCTCAGCCGAGGTGGACGAATCTCCGCTGCAAAAGTCTATGGACAAAAACAAAGAATGTGAGTAACGACCAGACTTGTTTACTATGTTTAATATAATATATAATATATAGGTACATAAGTGCAACTCTACTGTCTGTATCGCATATCTGGTTAGCGAATTATTTTTGTGACTCGACAATCGAAGGAGATGAAATACATACTCGAAGGGTGGGCGGAGTTACAATATATTGGCGTGCATATGCATGATTCGTGGTCCAGTCCCACCTCCCCCGGGGATATCGTGTGGGGGCGATGGAAATTCCGTTTATTTCCTCCAAATCACCAACTTACCGTCTTACGCATAACATATACCAAAAGATGAACGTTCAGAAGTTCCATTTCGTGTTTTTAACTTATCAAATCAAATTTAGAGATAAGAACATTATCTATAATCTCTCACTGATTATTTATGATGTTACAATTTTCAAGAGAGTCATTAGCATTTTAAAATATTAATATTTAACGCACACATGCCTTGCTTGAATATTAAAATATCTTAAAACAACGAGAGACCACTGCAGATAATAATGTTCTTATTGTTAAATACAATTATTGGTCAATTTACTTTAATTTAATTAAGTTAACCACACAATTTGAATGGTCGTATATAAATAGCCCACGATTTAAAATTCGAACGTTTTACCTGCAGCGGTTAACCGCGATTCCGTACTTGAGGGGCGGGTGTGGTTTCCCTATTATATTGGCGTACATGCATTATTCGCAGCCCAGCCCCCCTCCCTTCTAGGGTAAATTGTGCGGGGGCGATGGACAGTCCGTTTATCTCTTCCAAATCACCGGATATAACACTTATTGGATATATATTGTACGAGATAATGACACCACTCCCGTGCATAAATTTAAAGTCGTTCGTTAGGTTTACACGTAATACCTACTTTAACCGTGGTTTCACTATACCGTGGTGTTTATATTGTTGTGTATACATATTATATACACTTAATTTTTAATCATTTCAATGACGCGGGAACATTAAGTCAATTCTCACTTATTAATATGTACCTATATCTATGGTACAAATACAAATATTTTATACTAATCTATAGTACTTACATTTGCAAACGTCGCAAGCTTATCCGTTTTTAAAAATTCTATTTCTCTACATTTGTTTTGGTCGTATGTTTTCCTGTTGAGAACTTTCAATTGTACGTGTTACAAGTAAATACATAATCAACATTTTGTTATTATGGCAGTATACAATTTATCAACGTATTCATGAAAACGAAAATATCTGACGGCGAAAAACTGTATAAATTGATAGCTTAAAGAGCTTTCAATAGTAGTACAATCTACGTCTGCAATACGTTTTTCACTTCTGTAGTCATATAAAATACATATTTTTATTATTATGTCATATTTTCATTGCATTATATGAGAGGATCTGGTATTCCGTTACCCTCGTATATTATGTTGTCTCCGTTCTCACTAACGCATACTAAAATGTACGTTCAGCAGTCAGTCAATTTTGTGTCATTATAGCTTTAATATATTAGAGTGAATTGACCTTTAAGGCTTAAAGGCAAGCACATTATTTGTGTTCTCTTTTTGTGATTTTTCAATAATTTCATTTAAAGCGAGTTATGAGCATTTTTAAATAATTATATTTTACATGCTCAAAAATCGCCTGAAAATTATAGTATCTTAAAAAAGTGTTTATTGATAAAATATCCTTCTTATTTTCGAATTTGATTATAGATCAATTAAATTTAATATTTTTAAGCTATAATAACACAAAGTTATAAATTATGTTGGTCTGTCATGCGCTACAAATAACAAGACGAAAATACTGAACATGTGGATACGACGTTCTCCTAAAATTAATATAATATGTGTTTTATAATGTTACGTTACAATTGGTGTTGGCGGATGCGACGAAAACTCTCTAATATTGTTTAAAAAAATCAAAAAAGTCCAATTTCATCATTCTGATCCCGAGAATAGCGATTGTTTACTGCGGGCGCGTGTTGTAAACATATTATTGATAAAATTATCATCGTCGTGACCTGTTATCGCGAGCTGTTTTTCTTTTCTGTTCACTCAAGTCTGTTGATAAATAAATAAATAATAATAATATTGTACACATTATAATAAATAGGAAAAGAAAACACTTGAAAACATATTGTCGTCGGAATACCGTTTTGACAGATTCTTGTTGCTGGATCGTTTATTACGAAAAGTTTCGAGATGGCGTCTCTTTAATACACACTCACAATATATATATATACAGATGAACACATATATTACTCGTAGGCCTAGAGCCGCGCTGTGTATAGGAGATGCTTGTTTAAAGTTAAAATAATTATGTTGTGTATATAAACATTCATTTTATTAGCCGACGCGTGACAAATCGCATTGTTTATGTCACGATCTGTCGTCCGGGCCCTCGCCGCCGAAAATCGAACTGAAAAAATAACTTAATAATAGTCATAAGTGAAAAAAAAACGGCGTCTGGGCCGGACGTTCATCCCGTCACGGCGGCGTCAGCGGTAGCGGCGTCGCGTCGGTGGCGACAGTGTTGTATTCGAAAAATACGGCGAGATAGGGTTGGGCTGCTGTTGTTGCTGCAACGATGGCCTATTTACTGCACGATTAATGTCTTCGCGCGACGGCGACGGCAACAATGTATATAATTATATAATTGATATAGCGATAAATCGTCGTTGATATTATTGCGTTCGGTTGCATTCATTTTTTATTTTTATTATAACGGAAGCTAATTGTTTCGAGAAAAACGGCTGAAGACAGCGGCGGCGTGCCAGATCGCGAGAGGAACGTCCGCCTCGGCCTACGGAGAGACCATGGGGTGACGCCGCCGCCGTTGAGAGTCGATGACCCAAATAAACATACGCGACTGGCACGCGATTATTGTCGCGTGCGACGACGTTACTAATACGCCTCCGCTGGATAAAAAACTAATAAACAAGTAAATCCTTTTCGACGAAAAACGTGTTAATACCAAAATAATATACCAAGTCGTTTTCTTATTATTACCATCGTCCGTGATACGTGACCGCGGCTCGAGCCTGTCTTGCGCGTACATTATTATTATACTCACCTACTGTTATTTGTATGTAAACGTTTGTGTTTATATCCAGTCGCTGCAGTGCTTGCAGATGTACGTTTTATTATACAATGCGATTTGATAATATATATGACTTGATCATTGAAAGAAATACGACTCCCGTGTCCTTCAATGGATATTAAACGTCCACTGTACATGGTGATTCACCACGAATCACCCATCTTTCATCATTTATTAAAAATCTTGTTTTTTTCATTATTGAGTTTATGTACCCGAGAACCCTGTGTTTTCAATTACTTAGATTGGTTCATACTGTTATAGAGTACTTTCGTCTATGATGATACTGCAGACTTTTTTTTTATGAGAACAGCTTTTTTCACTGTAAATTGTTAAGCAAATATATTTTTCGAAAACGTTTTTTCATATGTTTTTAAGAAAATGAACAAAAATAAATGTCATTCGAACCCAGTTTGATTTGTGGACTTTTAACAGTTTATAAAACTGATCTTACATGATACTTTAGAATTGGTTATTCGTGATGTAGAGGATATTAAATATGATAGGGGAAAGTTTTTTTATAAGTTTGTTCATAAAAATACGCTTCAGACTTGAGTTCATGACTGTTTGAACCCTAAAAGTTGTACGTTTTACTAAATCTCAGAGATTCCCAGTGTTTTTAATTTGGTTGGTTCATATCATTATCTTTAATCAAATTCTATCGTAAAAAACAACACTAGATATCCCGCGACCAGCAAGCTCGCAGTTGTCACGTATACCGCCAAATCTGGTCTGGTACGTGAGCCGATTGATTCATTCCATATAACCCACAGCAGGAAACGAATACGTCATAGTATGATCTAGTCGTTGCAACTTGCAGGTAAATGATGTTAAAATATATTATGTCATTAGATACATGCTCGAACATGTATTTCGTGTGGCTATAATTTAATATATTAATGCGATCGTTTTCCGACGAGGGTCGCTACTGTATGTTATATAATATTAATACGTTAAAAGAGCCGTAATTTATGACAATTTAATTACGATTATTATTGAAGGCAATCAGCGTGGGGTCCATTCACTGAATTTTGCATCCTTGACAATATGTGTGTAGTATATATTATATGTTGTACACAAACGAGTCGATTAATATATAAAACGTGCCGTTCGATTTGCCGAACTATTATTATGATCGTAACGAAACTTAGAGATGTATACATTATTTTGACGCGCACATAATATCACCGTCGCCGCAGGATACACACCGTTTGAAAATCCTCATCTAACCTAATCTCTCGTCATCGGCACAATAAATCTTCGCACTGCAGTGCAACAGTCACCTATTCTTAATTATTACGCATCATCCCAAACGAATTATAATATTATCATCATATTTTACATACTTACATTATACAAATATAAACGACGCAAATAGTGATAAACGATAAATCTTAATATACTTTAGTTATACAATCATTATGTGTTCGTAATCTTTGCTCGAGCAGCAGACTCCCGCAGACGACTTACCACCGACAATGGTTTGATAGTGCGGATTATAAAATACTGGTTAGACAGTAATAAATTGGAACCGATCGTCAAAACGATAAGACTTCATTAAAGAAATAAAAAAAATCAAACCTTCGGCTGAGACCTATATATTTATTTATAAATATTTGTTCAGTATATTATATAGTATAAACACCTCTCTCGCATTTTGCGGACTGTTATTGATCCACTTAAACGCTCAACACAACGGTTTAAAAACTTAATTTCCAGGACGCGTTTGCCCAGTGTTATGTTATGCGTTTCTGCTGTGATTTTAATTTAAAAATAATTATGGAAAATTATTGTAATTGGAAAATGATTTTGTGCAGAGCTTGCTTTAAACCTTGCTTACCGACATAATTTCTTCGGACGCCTTATGTTTTTCTTCAATATAACTCATTTCGGAAAGTCTGCAGGAGAAATTATAATATTAAAC